TAGTGCGTAGTGAGTAGTGAGTATTGGGTAGTGAATAGTAGTGAGTAGTGAGTATGAGTAGTGGGTAGTGAGTGGCGAGTGGGGAGTACGGAGAAGGGAGTGGGGAGTAGTGAGTAGTGAACAGTGAATAATTAGTGTGTACTGATAAGTGAGTAGTGAGTGGCGAGTAGTGGGTTGTGAGTAGTGAGTAGCGAATAGTGAGTACAGAGTAGGGAGTAGGGAGTAAGGGATACTGGGTAGTGAGTAGTGGGTAGTGAGTAATGGGTGTCGAGTAGTGATTGGTGAGTAGTGAGTTGTGGGTGGTGCGTAGTGCGTAGTGAATAGTGAGTAGTGAGTAGCGAGTAGTGAGTAGTGAGTAGTGAATAGTGAGTAGTGAGTAGTGAGTACTGAGTAGTACGTAGTGCGCAGCGAGTAGATAGTAGTGAGTAGTGATGAGTAGTGAAGAGAAAGTAGTGGGTGGTGGCAGCGGGTAGTGAGTAGTGAGTAGCGAGTAATGAGTAGTGAGTAGAGTGTAGTCAGTAGTGAGTAGTGGGTAGTGATTGGTGAGTAACGAGTAGGGAGTAGCGAGTAGTTAGTAGTGCGTGCTGAGTAGGGAATAGGGAGTGGTGAGCAGTGAGTAGTAAGAAGTGGGTAGCGAATAGTGAGTAGTGAGTAGCGATTGGTCAGTAGTGGGTAGTGAATAGTGACTAGTGAATTGTGACTAGTGACTAGAGGCTATGTAGTGACTAGTGAGTAGCGAGTAGCAAGTACTGAGCAGTGAGCAGTGAGTAGCGAGGAGTAAGTAGTGAGTATTGAGTAGCGAGTATGGGAGTAGCGAGTAGCGAGTACTGAATACTGTGTAGTTAGTATTGTGTGGGGCGTAGGGAGTAGCGAGTAGCGAGTGGTGGGTCGTGAGTAGTGATTTGTGGGCAATGAGCAGTTAGTAGTGAGTAGTGAATAGTGGATAGTGAGTAGGATTATTGATTCGTGAATAGGGAGTAGTGAGTAGTGCTTAGTGAATAGTGAATTGAGTAGTGGGTAGTGAGGAATGAGTAATGAGTAGGGAGGAGGGAGTAGTGAGTAGGGAGTAGTGAGGAGCGAGTAGTGGGTGGTGGGAAGTGAGTAGTGGATGGTGAGTAGTGAATCGCGAATAGCGAATAGCGAGTAGTGAGTCGGGGGTGGAGGGTGGACGGCTGGGGTTAATGGTTAGAGGGTAGGGGGCCCCTCGTGACTCCCTTTGGGGCTGGGGTTAATGGTAAGGGTTCGGATTTGGGGTTTGGGTCCGGGTGAGGACTAGGGGTAGGGGGGGCGGGGGTCGGGTTCCGGCGTCAGGGGGCGGCGTGGCGAAAGGGGGAAGGGGGGGGGGGGGGTTCGGACCCCCCCCCCCTTTTTGAAAGGGGGAAGGGGGGGGGGGTCCCCGACGACGAGTCGTGGAAAGGGAGGGAGGGGGGGGGGAGGGGTCCCCGACGACGGATCGGGGAAAGGGGGGGGGGGGGGGGGGCTCGACGACGGATCGGGGAAGGGGGGGGAGGGGGGGGGGAGTCCTGACCCCCCCTCCCCCCTTGGGGAGATCCAGCGGCGCACCCTCCTGGTTAGGCCCCGAGAGAGGGGGGGGATGAAAGCAAATCCGCTCAAAATCGATGTCCGGACCCCTCCCAGGATCCACATGGTGCAATTTTTCGCGCCAGATCCGCTCTTGACGGTCCCGGGCCCGGACACGGCCCCTGGAGACAGACACCGGCCACACAACTGTCCCGAGCACAGAGCCTCGAGCCTCGCCAGCTCTTCCTGCTGGCAGGAACCGGTGCTGGACCACCTCAAACCCCCAGCCGACTCCACGACGAGGTGGTTGGCAGAACCGCCCAGGGCGCGCGGGCGCAGGAGCTCCGCGAGCTCTGCTCGGCGGCGCGCCCCGGCGGGAAGGCAGCGGGGGCGGGCTCCTCCGAAGGCTCAGAGGGCCCCGGGCCGTCTGGGAAGCCTCTGAGAGCCCCCTCCGAGGCCCCGCCGCTTTCTGAGAGGGCCTGCCTCCTCTCCAACATGAGCAGGAACGACTCCTCTCTCCCTGACGAGGCCTTCCTCTCCTCTCTTCTGAGAAGGCCTGCCGGGTGCAGGACCACTGCCTCAACATGAGCTTCCAGATCGGCGCTGGCCCCCCCTCCCCGGCGCGCGTAAGCGCGCCAGGGGCGGCACCAAGGCGCCGCCGAGGAGGCCCGCAACTCCGCCCTCGGCGCGCCTCCGATCTACGCGCGCACACCGCAAGGCCGAAGACACGCGGGGCCATGCAAGGCCAGGCAGCACGTTCACGGCGCCCGGCGAGGCGTGGGGGCACTGACGGCCGCTCCCACGGCGCGGCCGTGGCATGCGAGGGCGGTGCGGCGATGTCCTGACCATCAGCTTCCTGATGCGGTCCTCCTTCTGCGCCGACAGCTGCGCCTGCCCCGCGCCGCGAGAGTTCGTCCCGCGATCCGTCCACTGATGGAAAACGGCTCATCGCGAAAATACGGGGTGGGCCATCCAGAGCCCTGGCGTGGTGTTTACTCGGGCGTTCTGCGATGGGGGAGCACACTCGGGGCCTCAGGGGGCCCATTTATCCTATCTCCCTCTTGCCACGCTTCTCTCTCTCGTTTCCTCCTGGCTTCCTCGCTGTCTCTTTTTTTCTTGTCTACCTCCTCTTCCTATGCTCGGGGCCGCATCAACTACGCATGGCAGACAATGAACAATTGTTGTTGTAGTATTATGCTTGTTACTGGTAACATGGTTGGTAGTGCTAACATCGGTAGCAGGTTGATTATTAAGATGAGCAGTGGAAGGGCGAACAAAATTAACATGAGTAAGGCCGTTGATTGAACAATTCGCGCTCGGGGGCCGTTTCAGGCCACCCAGGGCCATCAGGATAAGGGCCCAGGATAACAAGCCAGACCTGCGGAACCGGACTGGGAACTTCGGGGACCTGCATTTTGGAGCAGCTCGAGATGTGCACCAGGTCGTCTGGTCGGCCAGGGAGCTCGGCATACAGAAGCTCCAGATTCCCAGGCTGTGGTGTGCTCGAGCGTGCATGCACCAAATTCCTTCGCCGAATGCTTTGGCCTCTCAGCGAGCCCAAGCGGCGTATACATGCCCGAAGCTGCATCACTGATTGCAGAAAAAAAATCTCTTGGAGGCGCATCTTTCGCTTCCGCTGGTTTCCGACAGCGCAGCCGCCCTCGCCCTGCGTCCGCCGCCTTCCCCTGATTAAAACAGGGCCAGGATCGGGATAAATCGCTCCAGAGCGTTCCGGAGCGCTCTCAGAGCGTTCCGGAACGCTCTGGAGCGGCCGCGGCGCCCAATACATCCTCCAAACCCGCCGATCCTCAGAAATTTCGAGTTATCCCGATCCGATTTTGTCCCGATCTTCGCGTCGTTTTACTGATTTTCCGCTGCCCTCCGCCGAGGAAGAGGCGTCAACCTCCCGACCGCTCGAAGGCGAGGCCCTCGCTGGAGCGCCCCAGATCTCGTCGAGATCGGTCCCCGACGCTCTCCCGGGGTCCATCCCGGCAGGGCCCCTGTCCCGGACCGACCTTGGCGAACAACTTCGAACCTCGATGCGTGAATCTCGGTCCAGGGTAGAGCCCCAACACTGGCCATCGCTCGGACGTCCATTTCTTGTGTTTTTTTGGTTTCGTGCGTGGTTTTTTCGCCAGATGGTCGAGGATGCTCCTCGAAGGTCCTCGCCGACGGAAACATGCACACGTCCGAGCGATGCCAAGCCCAACAAGAGACACGTCCGATAAGACGCTTTGCCACAAGAGACCTTGGGCCTCATTCTTCGGCGACCTTCCCAAGGTGCCCCAGAGCTTCTGTGGGCCCCTGGGGCCATCGGGCGATCAGAAAATCCCGCGGGCTAGCTGCAGAAAAAAACGATTTCTTGCTTGATGTGCCTGCTGTACCCCCGACGACGTTCTTTCAAAACGTGCCCCCCTTGAGGCCTCGACCCCCCTCCCTTTGGTTGGCCCAAAATGGGGTCCAACTGACCGGGGGGGTACAATAGGTTTGGGGCAGTTGTATTGCACATGTATTGCGCCAGAGAATTGTATTGCATTGTGCTGCCACTAATGCACTGCACGCGAAAACCCACCAATACATTTGCGCACCCGAATGTATTGCACGCCCCGAATCCACTGCAACCCACAAATCTATTGTATCAAATCTACTGCGCCACCCCCTTGTCGCTGGACCCCCTTTGTGGGCCAACCAGATCCCCCAGGACTGGCTTTTCCTGCCGCGTCGTTCCTTGACGGCCCCGGGGCCCGGTGAGGGCCAACGGAGGCCGATCATGGCCGAAAACCTCCCGTCGCTCGGGGGCGCGCAACCATGGAGAAGCGATCCATGGATTTGGCGCGCCGTCCTCCCCAACGTGCGGCTGGTGCCGCCTCGTTCGGCGGCGGCGGAAATCCGCGATTTCCCATGGAAACGGGACCCATGGCTAATCCGCGCCCCCTTGATCCATGCTTGCGATCGCCTGAGTCGCGAACTTTGCGTTGTGACCCGAGGGGGTCTCCCTCCCACCGCCGCCACCCCACAGAGCCCACCAAAGGATCGCGGCGGGGAGAGCGGCGAGCAACGAGCTTAGAGGATCGTGTGGGGCAAGGGTTGGTTCTGGGCAGAGGGGGTCTTTCGCAGCGGCGAGCAACAAGCTTAGAAGATCGTGTGGGGCAAGGGTTGGTTCTGGGCAAACGGGGTCTTTCGCAATGGGGCCGCCGCAAAAGAATGCAATGGTTCATCCTGTGGCGCAAGGCGCGTGACAGCCACGTGCTGATATTGTACGCCGTGCGTATCCCGCACGAGAGATCTCACGAGCCGTGGCTTGCATTTTCGACGCCCCCCCTTTGCAAAGGACCCATTCGCCCGAATCCGAAAGCGGGGAGGGAGGCGTATCGAGCACGGTGTCGCAGGCCCCGGTGAGGCCGCAACCGCCCCGCGGCCAGCCCGCTGGCCTGTGCGGACCGGGAGGACCGCGCGTTGCCCTCGGCGCTCTGCTGCGCCTGGGAGAGCTCTCTTCCCCTCTCCGCCCCTCCTCCTCCTCCTCCTCCTCCTCCTCCTTCTTTCACTATGTCGCTCCCTTCTTCTCCTCTTCCTCCTGCTCTCTCCTCTCTCCTCTGTCCTCTCCTTCCTCTTCCTCCCTCCCTCAGCCTAGCCTCCTCCTCCTCCTCCTCCTCCTCTTCCTCCTCCTCCTCCTCCTGCTCCTCCTCCTCCTCCTCCTTCTCGCTCCTCATTCTTCTCTCCTTCCTCTTCTTTCTTCTCCTCCTCTTCCTCCTCCTCCTCATCCACTTCGTCTTCCTCTTCTGCTTTTTCTTCCACTCCTTCCGCCTCTTCCTCCTCCTCCTCCTCCTCCTCCTCCTCCTCCTCTCCCTCCTCTCCTTTCTCTCCCTCGGCCTCATTCTCCTCCGCCGTCCTCCTCCACTTCTCCCTCCTGCCCCTCCACGTCTCCCTCCCGCCCCACCTCCGACTCCATCCTCCACGGCAGGCGGCCGCCAACAGAGCGGGGTCCCCGGACGGCGCCGTGACCACAGCGCCCAGCGACTCCACAGTGCTTCGGGGTCGGTGGGCCGCTGTGGGACCCGGGCAGCTCTCCGGGGGGCGGCCCGAGCGTGCAGGGCCTCCGAAGCTCCAGGACCGCCCTGCGACAGACCGTCTGGGGAGGCCTTCGGGATCTCAGGTGGCATTTCACGGTCTGTCCACAGACAGGAGGTCTCCGGGACCCCCGAGCAGCGGATGTATCTGGCGCCGCGGCCTTCTCAGAGCGCTCCGGAGCGCTGGGAGAGCGCTCCAGAACGCTCTGGAACTATGTATCCCTGTCTTCACCCCCCGTCCGGCAATGTGGACGTCCGAAATGGGTACCGAAAGCATGGGCACCATGCCCAAGTCAACAAATGTTGTCCAAAGCCGACAGCGGCCGCAGTTGGACAGGCGGCCGACTGTCTCAAATGCACGACGTCCGCGGCCGCGCCGACAGCGAACCCCGCTCAAAATGTGCAGGAACTGCTGTCGGTCTTCGTACCCATGCTTTCTGTACCAATTTCGATCGTACCGAGACAACTCCTCTGACCCAATTTGGCGGCGAAATCCGAACCCTACCCTCGCCAATCAACGATTCAAGCAACTCAATGGGAGGTGGTGGTAGGGTTCGGAATTCGCCGAAAACGTGAGAAATCCGAACCCTGCCCACGCCTCCCATCGATTCAGGAGAATCGATGGTTGGTGGGGTTAGGGCTCGAATATCGCCAACGAAGTAGGCTCTCGGAGGTCCGCGAGGATCTCTTGGATCTGCGCGGACCTCCGACAGTTCACGCAATACCTACGCCGCTTGTTTCCCCTTCGAGGACATGAGGGGCGGCAGGCAACAGACAAGGGTACGCTGGATTGTGAAGGGTCGGATTAGCAATCAGACCTACCAATCAACCACCTACCAATCAAACGCCGCTTATAGGCGGCGAGCGAGGGGGGGGAAATGAGGAGGAGAAGGCCTTCTCGGAAGGCGGCGGGGCTTCTCAGAAGCCCTCTGGCCTTCTGAAAAGATTTGTGTCTTCGGGGAAGGCTTAGACAACTTCTCAGAAGGCGGGGGGGCTTCCGAGCCTGAGAAGGACCGCCCCTTCTCACTTCCCCCCCCGAGCTCGCCGCCGAACCTGGGGAAACCAAAAGGTACCCATACCGCTACTCCCCAAACCTCTCCCGGGGTGCGTTCTGACCAGAATCTCGGGGCGAACCCAGCGGTGACGACGAGGGCCTTCGAAGAGGCCCAAAAAGAGGATAACGAGGCAAGGGTAGAGGTACGGGCGCCTTTTCTCCTCTGAGAATCTACAGATCAAACACCACGCCCCTTACCCATCCAACACCACGCCGCAGTATGCGAGGCTGGCGGCGTCGGCGGCGCGCGGCGGCGCACAGCGGCGCGCGGCGGGCGGCGGTGCAGCGGCGGTGCGGCGGCGGTGCAGCGCCGCGCAGCCGCAGCGCGGCTGCAGCGGCAAGCGGTCATACGGATCGGGCACAGGCTCAGAGGAAAAAAACCGGTACCTCTACCCTTCCCCTGTTTTCCGCTTACTGGGCCTCCTGGGAGGCCCTCGTTGCCACCGCTGGGTTCGCCTCGAAATTCTGGTCAGGAGGCGTTCGTGGAGTAGCGGTATCGGTTCCTTTTGGTTTCCCCACGCTCCGGCTGAACGCAGGAGTGGCCCGGGCAAGAGTGGCTTTTGTTCCACGCCACTAATCACGTCAACACGGTGACAGCTCACGCACGTGCCGTTCGCACCACGGGCCGAGCGAGAAAGGAGGTCGCGGTGCAGATCCGCAGCCCCCAGTCGAGAGGCAAGAGTGACCTCTGGTGCGCAGCTTCAGGGGGCCGCGCGGGAGGCCAAATCAAACGCCATCCAAACGCGCCAGCCAGAGATCACTGCGGCGAAGGTTCTCCCTTGCGCGTAGGGCGAACAACGGCTCTCCTCCCCTCTCCAAACCAGCAGCGTTTTTCACCCGCTCAGCGCGATGCCATTGCAGTCCCAGTGAACCTGGCAATCAAGCTTGAGCTTGAGGACCTTCAGACGCACCCAGGGCGAGGGAGCGGTCGAGCTGGGACGCGCGAGCCTCTGCGTAGGTATCGGAGATGCCAGAGACCAATATTGCTTGCGAGCTCATTCTGAAATCGCTAGGCATCTCGCGGGTGTTGTCAGGTCTCTCGATTTCCCCCCTAATCATACAGTGTTGAGACCCCTTTTTTGAAAAGAACACTGCTGGCTGTGCTGGCGAGGAGCAGCGGGGGAGCCGCAAGCGGGCGACCCGCCAAAAACGCGAAAACGGGAAAACCCGTAAAGTCGTAAACCGGACGGCTTTCGCGAAAAATAGCGCTTTTCCCGCAATGGCCGATGTGCGCGAAAACGGGAAAACCCGTAAAGTCGTAAACCAGACGGTTTTCGCGTAAAGTAGCGGTTTCCCCGCACTGGCCGATTTGCGCGGAAACGGCCCCAGCGTTAAACGCGTAACGAGCCACGTGCTGGTTTACGACTTTGCGAATTTACGCGGTTACCGAGCGGGAAAGGAGGAGGTGGGGGAGGAGGAGGAGGAGGAGGAGGAGGAAGAGGCGGAGGAGGAAGAGGCGGAGGCGGAGGAGGACAAGGAGGAGCAAGAGAAGGAAGAGACGAATTTAGGACCCCACTCTTTTGAGCCACGAGGCCCAAAACAGCCCCAAGAAACCTCTCTGACCCCCCCAAAGAACCCCAAGATTGCCCCAAGAGGGCCCCAAGAGGGCACCAAGAGGACCCCAAGAGGACCGCAAGAGGACCCCAAGAAAGCTCTAAGATGGCGACAAGAGACCTCCGAGAACCTCTCACAACAGCACCTCGACTCGCCTGGGCATCGTTGCTGGATGGGCTGGTGGGCGTACTTTTTTTCGATCTGCGGCCCGCAAGGAAGAGTCCAGAGGGCGCGTCAATCGGGCTGACTGGGGCACAGAGCCAGGTAATTTGCGAACCCAGCTGTCACTGTCGGCAGCCGACCGCACGTGCAACATGCAGAACAAATTTGGGAAAACGGGCAGACGGAGGCAACAAGCCAAAGAGAAGCAGAGCGCCAGTCGAGAGCCAGCCGCGCGTGGCGACGTTGCGCCAGCGCCAGGAAGCCGGGCGCGGAGCAGGGCGACGGAAGGACGAAAGAGGGGGGGGAAAAGCAAGATGCCTCACTCACGGAGCACCAGGTGCTCGCCGGCGAGTCGACTCTGACCCAATCAATGGTGGACAGGTCGTGAATCCTGAGGGGCAGCCACCATCCTTGACGACAGGGATGTACGTTGCGCAAACCACGTCACAACCACCAGTGCCCAGTGTCTCGCCAGGGGGGACCTGCAGGTAGGAGTGAACGCCTGACCATCGCAGAAGGGCGGGGCGTCGATGGCGACAGCGAGCGTGAACGTCTCCCAGAGGAAGAAGCAAAGGTCGGCAACGCCGGGGGGGAAACGTCGGCCAGGAGGAGACACGGACCTGCCGCAGGATGCGCCACATGAACAGGAAGTCGTACTCCAGGGCGACGGCGCCGCATAGCGACACGGCCGCGTCGCGGAAAGGCCGGGCCTGCCAAAGGATAAATCACTTGTGCAGAAGTATGCCTTACCAGAGCCACCCGCAAGCGGTGGTCGAGGGCCCAGTCGGCGCTTGTCAAGTGGGGGGAACAGCCACTGGGCAAGAGCACCAGCCTCCATAAGGCGCCAAGTGGAACGTAAGGGGTGGGCCTATGGCCGAAAGCCCCCGCCATCCCAGGCGAGCACTGCACCAGTGCGCAGTGCTGAGATGGAAACACCTCGTCCCCGGGAGGTGACCCACAGGTATTAGGCCAGAGCCACGCTGCACGTCGTCGGCACACCACAGCAGTCGTCGAGGGCGACAGGAGGGGAGGAGAGGAGGCGCAGCCGATAGCCGCATAACATTCGAATACATGGCGAGGAGGAGCCGGGTGGTAACGCCGCCAGTCGAGGACCCAACACGTGAAGTCGGCATGTCGTTGGCGTGTGGCGCCGGCTCGTGGGGGGGGGAACGTCGCGTGGGCAAGGCCGTCGGACGTCGGGCGCGTGGAGCGCATGGGGGGGGCCTTCGGCCTGCCGCCCCAGCCATCCAAAGTGAGCGCCCCAGCGGGCGACGCGGGCACGTGTCCCAGTGAACAAGGCCAAAGTGAACCGTGGGCAGGGTTATTGCAGCCAGACCGCACGGGCTAAGAGCCCGCGAAGTACCGTGGGGGTCTAAGCGCAGTGAGTGTGTGCACCTCGCTCCCAAGAGGTGGCACGTGTATTAAGGCCGGGGCCTGTCACTGCGGTGAAACGAGCCCCCTTGTGAAGGGACTGCCCATGGCCGATCCGGCCCGGGGGGGTCATCCGCCCGCGACGTCTTCTCCTCGCCCGATGCTTGCCTGTGGGCAGCCAAAGGGACTTGCGAGGACCATGGTGGCCCCTGCCAGTGTGGAGCGAGTCTTGTGAACGTCGCGCGTCGTCGGCCAGTCGCCACAGTCGTCG